ATAAGCTTAAATAAAACTCAGAGCTGTAATTTTGATTGAAAAAATCAGAAGTCTACAGTATGATATTGTATAAAGGTCAAATATAAGCAAAAGTAAATATTAATTAACAATACATTTATGTGATAAAGCGACAAAGCTATTTTAAAAAACAAAGAAATGCTACCTTTGTAACTCTGCACAGTGATTCCCTCAGAGGGAGCAGAGGCAGGGGGACGGGCCGAAGGAGGGTCCCACTGGTGATTATAAAGGCGCTGACAACAGTCTAGTTCTTAAGTCGGGTGATGAGTTCACAGGTGTTTACTATATTTATGTTATTTCAATAACTACATGCTTTTGTAGATATCAAATAGTATATAATAAATATTAAACCAAGAAAACAAAAACAAAATACAGATAATAAGCAAAGATGACCAAAAATAAGAAACCAGCTATAAGTGGTATAAACTGTGTGAACTGTGATATGTTCATTTGGTTACAAAGAATTTTTCAAGGCATGGGGAAATGCCTACAATAAGATTAGCCAGATAAAATGATGTAAAAAAATGTACAGTAAAACGATTAGTAAAAAATAAAATGAAATGTCAACAGTGGGTATTACAGGGAGTTTTACTTCTTCTTTGTACCTTAAAAATTTTCTATAGTAAATAATACTTTTAAAATTAAGAATTTTCAATTGTGATTAATGACTGTAAGTTATTAAAGAAAACTGCCAAATGTACTGTTGGAAACAGGAAAAAGAATGGTGCTTTGGAAATCTGGTTGTGATTTATCAGTACTGTAATTCAGTTTTATATTTTCTGCCATAAAACAGTACATATTTATTACTATGATTCCATTTAAAACAATTTCATTTTGTGTGGCAAAAAATATGACTGAGAAAGCCACAACCTAAGGAATATATTTTTACTATTGAGGATTTCAGTTATAGCAACTGAAAGCAACTTCTATTTCATTAAGAAAAAATGAAAGGAATAAAATATCCCTCAAAGACGTACGGTTTTTATAAACACATAATAAATACAGATACTGAGATGAGAGTCTGCCTGACAGGCCTACCTA